TGTCCATATTTTCTCCCCACATCGACCCTCAGGCTGCATTTGCCATGAGGCAGGGTTCCCAGGAGAATGGGCTTAGAATGTCAGTTCCAACTGGGCAGAAGATGAGGAAAGGATGGGAAGCTCCAATACATGTGCCCATCAGGGATAAATCTAGGGAGGCACTCTGGGTAAGGAGGACCCAGCCACAGGGGACACAAAGGAAGACAGGTGGAGTGACAATATGATGACAGGCAAGGCCCCAGATTGTGTGAAGGAGTAGATCCCAGAAAAGAGGTGAGGGGCAGAAAGTAGGACTAGCCCCAGGCTCCTCTATGGCACCATCAAAAGGGAACCTGGAGATTCTTCTCTAACTCCCCACCTGAAAAGACTGGATGATGACCATAGACATTCCCCTATGTCATACTCACCTGTCCACCACACGTTTGAAGTCTCTGCTCCTTCTTTCTACCTGACCTGCTCTCCCACAGGAGTCCCTGTCTCAGGGAACAATTGCATCTTTGTTCCTGTTGCTCCAGCCCAGATGTCATACCTGATCCTCATTCTGCTCATGCCAGATTAGTTGGCTGCTCCTGCAGATTAGCATCGCTCAAACCTTAGTGGGCTGAGAGACTCTTGACTCAGCGATACTAGAGTCAGTGATACACAGCTTCCCTCTCTCGGGGTCTCCAGCAAGGACAAAAGGTGCTGCTGGGCTATAGTGACTCTACAGGGGAGGGTCCCTGGATTACTGCCAGGATTCAGCCCCTAGGGGTATTGGCTTGCAGGCAATATGCCTTGCCGGCTACTGATCAGACCCTGTTTCTTATCACAAGAGCCTCTCCATGTGATGGCTGCCTTCCTCAAAACCAGCAAGGTGAGGACCAGGAGAGTCCACCAGCAAGGTGGAAATCAGGATCTTATGTAATGTAAGCCTAGAAGTGCTGCTTCATCACAGGCTACATATTCAATGAGAAGCAAGTCATAAGCCTGCCACATTCAAAGAGAGGGGTTTTAGCAGGTAGGTAGGAAGAGTCACCTTTGTCTGCCTACTACACCCTATCACCCAGTTCATGGCTAAGTCTCATGAACCCTGCCTCCAAAATGCCCTGGATCAATCCACATCTCCCCACAACCATGAGCCACACTCCAGATCCAGGCACCCCCTCTCATTGGGCTGTTCTTGGTCCTTTGGTTTCATTCTTTCTCCCCAGTGTCCACCCCCAGAGAAGATCATGCAGTTTCTCTTCCATGCCTTAAAAGCCTTCCAGAAAGTTTCCACTGCTGGCCAAATAAAATGACCTCATCTCGTGCCTGGTCCACTCCTCAACATACTCTGATGTCCAAGCTGCTTGTATTCCTCAGACTCCTTGAGTTTATCCCCATGGTCTGGATTTTTCACTTAGTGTTGTCTCTGCCTGAAATGTTCTCCTCTCAGGTGTCTGCATGGCTGGATCTCCCTGCCCTGAAGATCCCTGCAGATCCCTGGAGAGGTTCACCCTGCCCAAGAGGAAAGGCACTTGGCATGACCCCAATCAAACACCAGGCTATTTCTGTCACATTGGCCATCTTAATCTTATTAAGGCCTCTATCACTCACTGCCTGGCTTATTTTTTTTAGAAGAAACAAAACTTTTTAAATTTTATTTTCAAAGTCTAATTTTAATTCAGGCAGAACAAACAAGCAGAAAAGTGAGAAAGCTAACTGTATTAGCAGACACAGATGTACGAAATGTTAAACACTGGATTATTAACACAACTATTTACATGTGTATTTACAGGCAACCCTTTTATATATAAGTTTTACTTTTAGTTAGTTGTAAAAACATTTGACATTAGGTAAAAATATTACTTAGATTTGGCTGAGGTGGTACCACATTATAGTAAAAGTATTAGAAAAGTAATCCTCAAGGTGTATCAATTATAAAGCAGATGAAAACTTGAATGATAAATATCTAGTAAAATTTCCCAGTAAAAAAGTCAATATAACCCATGCTACAAAAGTGAGAAAGCCATATAAATAAAGCAGAATAATGTCTAGGCCTTAGGGTAATGAAGTTAGTCAAGTAAAAGAAAAAAGAAAGCTTGAATTGAAATAAATCCTCATTGAAGAGTCTTGGTTGTTTAGCTGAGAGTTCTGTTTCTTCCCCCTACTAATGATATTTTACAAGTCCTTTGGATCAAATAGCATCTACATATGTTAATCAGTTGTGGATATATTCCAAGACTAGTGCTGATGATGTTCATGACTATGATTAATATTTGATTTTTTTTGTTTTGTTTTTTGAGACAGGGCCTCACTATATAGTTCAGGCTGGCCTTGAATTCACTATGTAACTCAGGCTGGCCTCGAACTCACAGTGATCCTCCTGTCTCAGTCTCTCAAGTGTGTGCCACCACAACCAGCAATATTTGAAACTCAATTAATTGAGATATAAGTGTCAAACTAAAATAAAAGCTGTGATATTTCTATCTAAAAAAGAATGCTACATTTTTGCAGTAATACATATTTCTAGGCTGACATTTTTTTCCCTCAAGAAAGAAAACTTAATGAATAAGCATCTAACCAGCTAGCAAAATTTACTTTCAACATTTCATTTATTTCAAAATTGATTATATTGCAGCCAAAACAGTGGAATTAACTGTACATAATAAGCTATTTTTAATATATACACATTTTAAGTTGTAGGGAATGAAATTTATTTTGGCAAATAGTGTTAAACAAAATTAAACTTGCATACATTAGTAACATAACTCAACATCATTAATTTGGTATGACACATGTTCTTGCTTTCCTGTGTTCTGCTAAATCATCATACCTAAAATGTTTTATAAAATGTAAAAGTAAAATTTAACTTTACTGTTTTCACTTATGCTCTGATTCCAAACAAAATTTTTCACAAGCTTCTTCAATCTCTGGGTCCATCTCATTATCAATATCATCCAAGTATGTTTCACCAGCCCTGATAAATCTGTTCCATTTTCTTCATAATCTGGAAAAAAACTCCCCTCTTTCAAGTAACTCTTGATGTTTCTCTTGGTAATCTGGATCAGCTGCAGTGAAAGGAACACCATCAGATGTATAAAATGTTGGTTCATTCATAAAGTAGTTCAGATCATTTTCAGGTGTTGCTTCTCTGTATGTTGAAGATGCATGGCCTCTACACCAGTTACTCAACTGGAGTTCTACAAGCTTCAAGAGCATCTGTTTTACATCTCTGCTGCGGTTTGCTCCTAGGATGACATTTTCAATTCTCTGAATAACTCCTTCCATATCCGTCTTTAATTTTTCTTTCCAAGCATCTTCCAGAACTAACCCTGTCAACTTCAGTAATTTTACTGCACAAATTAAGTTGTCATCCACTGGATTAGAGAAGAGAGCGTTCAGTAATTCATGCAGACCAACTTGAAAAATACCTGCTCTTGTAACCTGTCCATTTGTTCCCTTGATCTCCAGGCTAAGATAAAGTTCTCCCAGAAAAAGGACAAATGCATAAAGTCATTTTCGAGTCACTTCATCCCCTTTTGCAGCTTGATTTTTAACTTCATATCCAGTCAGACAACTGCTGGTAGATGAGTTCCACAAATTCTTGCAAAGCATCATCTGTTGTAACCCAGCCATTCAGGGTCTCTGCAAACTGTTTAATTTCAGTTTCAAAACTGCCAGTTTTCTCTGTAAGATGATTCAAAAACTCCTATACATAGTCTGATAGAGTAGGATAATCTTCACAACCATCCTCATAGGATTCTGTATAAGCAGAATAACCTGATGGGTAAATTAGGGGGCATTGGCAGACAGCTTAGACATTATTAACACAGGAGCCACAACCACTTGGGGCTTAGGCATTGCTGACTGAGTTCTGCTGGGGGATTTCATCCTGTGAGCTAGGTGGAGCTCTCAGGGGCCTCTTTTGTTCTGGGGGTGCCCCGGGCAGGGGAGGCACCTGGGAGCGGGCCCGGACCTTGCTCCTGGTCGAGGCAGTCCTTGGCTGGGCCAGTGGCAGCAGGGGCTGCAGGAAACCCAGGACTTTGGGCTGAAGTGCCGGCTGGTGTCCTGAGCACCCCGCAGGCCCAGCTCCCTGGCTTATTAACTATCTTTTGCTATAGTTCAGGCTCTATGAGAAGACAAACCCTGGCTTTACTGTGTTCCTCTCTGTATTCCCCATATCCTGAAGCTAGCCTGACATGCAACAGGTCCTGGATAACTATCACTGAATGAAAAATTAATTAATAAACACAGAGCCAACTCCACAAATCAAATTACACACTTGTCCTGGCTTTGGATATCTGCATGGCATTGTTCATTAGAAAACTAAATCTTTGTTTAGGCCCTGACTCTGATGCTATGTAAATCTGGCCAGAGGAAGTTTCCACCTCGATTATTTTAGGATAGTTTTGATAGCCCATTGATTGACAGTCATTCACTCCCATGCCCCCCAGATTCATTTGTTAGTAGATGTTATCGCTGGAAGAAAAATGTCTCTACAAATGGCACTTGGTCAAGGTCTTCAGTGAGCTGAAACCTCTGATCAGAGCTGAGAAAGAGTATAATCTCCTCTGCCTGCAGAACTGAACAGAGAGGACATTAGCTTGTGCCCCAGCAGTTCTGTGGAAGCAGAGGGTTTTCCACTTTATGGCTTTGTCTTTCACAGGCATGAATGTTATCATAAGAAAATAAAGGCTTGCACTAAATGCAAATAGAGGAAATTCACTGAGAAATAATGGTATGCAAGAGACCTAACGGGGCCAGGAAAACTGCCCCTCTCAAGATGTTCTTTTGGTTGGTTATATTTCTCATTCTGATGGGACCAAAATATCATCAGTCGTTAAACAATCCTTTGTGTTTGGGGCTCTATGCCTTATTCATTTGCAGTTTTAAAAGAAAATTTAATAATGACTGTTGCCTTCGTGTTCATCAGACCATGTAGGGGTTTGGGGGGATGCATATCCTCTGGTAGCTCTTGCTTAAGGAAGAGCCACCTGCTCCAATTCTTCAGTCTTGGCATTTCTTCTATTGTTCCTTAGATCGCACCTATAGGGAAAGAAGAGGAATACGAAGAAACAAGATCAAGGGACACACCTCTTCATCAGGGTGTCCATAGAGGTCTGGTTAGGAAATAGAGCCCAGGGTAAGACATTCAGTAGGGGAAATTTAATTCAGAGAACTCATAGGAAGGTCCTAGAGGGGCTGGAAGATCCACAGGGTGCAATGAAAGGATGTAAGGATTAGCAATTGCAGTGAGCCATCACCAAAAGTGGAGGACATTATGGGTGGAATTGAATCCCTCAAAAAGGATATATCCAATGTAGTGATTATCCAATGGCAACAAAAGGGTTAAAACCCTGAGCAACAAAAATCTCCCATTAAAGCAATCCTGCCCAGCACCTAAATGACCAAAACAGCGTGAGATAAAATTAATCTTTCTCCCAGTGAGAAGGGGACTTCCATGAGGCCGAAGTAAATGACCTTGCCAATTTACAACTTTGATGTACAGCTTTAGTTTAATGCAGGTGTTCCTGGGAAATTAACAAGGAACAGGATGATCCGGAAAATGCATTTCTGAGATACCTATATTTGCTAACTCATACATTTTCCCACATCTTAAATCTCTTATTAAAAAAAAAAACAAACCCTAATCTCTTACCCTGATGGCATAGTTCCACTCTTGGAAACTGGCCCATGGTGCCTCTTGATAGTGTACTCTGGTCTAAATAAACTCTTGTCTTTTCATACTCCTTGACTCTTGGTAAATTCCCTTACCATCCAGGTCACCTGCCTTCCATACACCATTTGCTTGGCAGAACTATTAACTCCTAGTACTGCAGAATGGGACCTTATTTAGAGATAGAGCCATTGTAAATGTTAATTAAGCTAAAAAAAAAAAAAAGCTCATGCTGGAGTAGTGGGCCTTAATCTAACTACTGTCTTTATAAAAAGAGAAAACTCATAGCAATCACCAGGAAGATGACCATGTGTGGCAGAGGCAGAGACTGGGACTCAGCTGCAAACCAAGGAACGTGAAGAATGTTATCAGATGGCCACCATCAGGCTAGGAAAAGGCAAGAAAGGATTCTACCCAGAGTCTCAGAGGACTATGCTCTACTGACACCTTGATTTTGGAATTCTTGCCTCCAACTGTGGCCCAATAAATTTTTATTATTTTACGTTACCTGATTTGTGATACTTTGTTAGAGCAGCATAGGAAACTAATAAAAGTTGTACTTGGAACCCACACAGAGGATGTGGATTCGTTAGGTAGCCCAGGCAGAGGCTGGACCTCAGAGTGTGGGCATTTGCTAGCATCTGGTCACACAAAGGAGATGCAGCCGTTGTGGAGAAGCCACCAGAGGAGGTGAGTGCCAGGGAAGGGAGGGTGGGTCATGCTGGCTTCTCCGTTCCTCCATCCTCCTGCCTCCTGCCAGTGTCTCTCTCTGGACCTATCACAAGCCAGTTGCCATAAGCATTGCAAAAAGTAGCTCTCAGAGGCAGGGGATTAGATCTGAGCTCAGAAAGGCACACTGGTGCTCTGAGTGGCTGTCTCATCAGGCTGGACTGTGCGGAAGTATTCACTTTACTCAGGTTACAAATACTGGATACAAAGTCTGCACCACCACCCCTAAAGCTAGAAGCAGGAAGGGTACTTAGAGTGAAAAGGGTCCTAATGCAAGAGCAAAATATGCAAACCCATTGTTTATTTATCAAATAACCCAAAGCCAGAAAAAAAACTCCCGGAGACTGGGAAATTTAGGACTGAACAACAATCAAGAAAGAGGGGTGGGGAGAGGCACTCGGTGAAAATCTCCAACCCAAACAAGGAAGAAAACGAATGGGGTGCTAGAAGGGCCCTTATACCTGTGTGGCCCTCCTGCATCTAATGCCCAACGCAAAAATTTTCACATGATCATTTCCCAAAGGATTTGAAATACTTGTGGATTAAAACAAATTAAAATATTTAGCATACAAACTTTTGTCATTCTTTAAAAGTACAAGTGTTTTGTAATGAATCTGAGACAAAGTTTACTTTCATACAAAACAGAAAATAACATATAGGTGTAGATTTATATATAATACATTTTTATACTTGCATATAATAGCTTTTCATTTATGACTTTTAAAAAGGAACACAAATCTATTTTGAGGGGAAGATCGCTTCTTGGAACATACCGATATACCAAATTAGTACTTGCGTAGAGGATGGTGGGCAAATGTTTAACCAGTATCTTGTTCTGGTTGCCAACTTTATTTATTTTTTTCTTAAATTCTTTTATTGGTACATTTTAGGTATACAATATGTTTACATTTATCACTGGGTGCTTGTACCTGTACATGATGTATCTTGGTTCTTATTTTTTCCACATTCCCTGTTCTCCCTTCACTCCCTCCACCCTTCCCTATTTACATAGACTTTGTTTCCATTTTTTTTCTTTTCTCATAAATTTTCCTTTCCCTTCTTTAGTTTCCCCTTCCCCTCCTATCACCCCTATCCCTTTGGACCTTTTCTTCATATTTCAAATTATCAATTATTTGTTTTAATCATTTTAATCCTTATTTACACTTTCAGTTTCTCACACTAGAGAAACTATTTGGTATTTACACATGTGTGTCCTATTTATTTCACTTAAGAGTATCGCCTCAGTATGCATCCATTTGGCTATAAATGTCTCTAATTTCTCATTCTTTATGGCTGAGTAGTACTCCACTTTATAAAAAAAAACACTTCTTCTTTATCCATTTTCCAGTTGATGGGCACTTGGGCTGTTTCCAAGTTTTAGCTATTACAAACTGTGCTGCTATAAACATGTGTGCACATATATCACTATGGTATGATTCTTTTAATTCTTTGGGGAAGATCCCCAGCAGGGGAATGGCTGGGTCAAATGGGACCTCAAGCCCTAGTTCTTTGAGGTATCTCCATACTGATTTCCACAGTGGTTGCACCAGTCTGCACTCCCACCGACAATGGAGAAGGGTTCCTTTCTCCGCACACCCCTGCCAGCATTTGTTATTGGTTGATTTCTTAATAGCAGCCACTTTTTCTGGGGTGAGGTGGAATCTCAGTCTTGTTTTCATCTGCATCTCTTAAATGACCAGTGATGTTGAATATTTTTTCATATGTTTATTTGCTGCTTTTACTTCTTTGAGAAATGTCTGTTCATATCAGATGCCCATATTTGAATTGAGTCTTTGAATTTGGGGGCTCTGATTTTTTTCAGTTCTTTATATATTCTAGATAGTAGTCATTTGTCTAAAGTACAGCTGCTAAAATTTTTTTCCCACATTATAGGTTGTCTCTTAGCCCTGTTGCTGGTTTCTCTAGCAGTGCAAAAGCTTTTTAATAAGATGAGATCCCAGTTGTTGATTCTTTGTGCTAGTTCCCGTGCTACTGAGGCATTGTGCATAAAAATCTTTTCCTATGCCAGTGTCTTCAAGAGTTCTACCTAACTTGTCTTTCAGCAAGTTTAGGGTTTCCATTTTAATATTTAGATCTTTAATTCACTTTGATTTTAGTTTAGTGCCTGGTGATAGATATGAGTCTAGTTTTAATCTTTGGCAGGTTGAAGTCCATTTTTTCCAACACCATTTATTAAATAGGCTATCTTTCCTCCAATGAGGGTGGTTTGGCTGCCAACTTTAAAAGGAAGAACATTCTAAATAATTTGTCAAAAATAACATTCTGCTAAAGAGTGAGGTAACATGGTCTTAGCTTTCCAATGCTTTACATTGGCACAGAAGTGGAATGTAAGAAATCACATAACTAGTTAACATGGCCTCAGCAAACAAAGGCACTTGGAGGGAAGCCTTTGAGACCGTGGAGTCTTGGGAAGCTCACGGTCATCACACCTCACCAGATTTGGCTTTGTTAACGGAAACATTGGCCATAGTTAGCACACATGACCCTCTGGTGTGAAAGGTTGAGATTGTCAAACAAATCTGTCAGAGCTGTGTACAAACAGCAACAAATATGAAATAATAAACAAAACAGAAACACAGGGCAAAGCTTCCAATGCACCACATGCTCACACAGAAGCACCACACATGACAGCACAACACAGCCTAGTGTGGCACGGGGCAAAGCAAGGCCCCATCAACCATCTGTAGAGTGGGATGAATCCCTCCCCATCTACACTGCTTAGTTGTAAGGGAAGGGAAGGGAGAAAAAGGTAACGTAGACAGGTGGTGGTAACTCAGGAATGGAGTGCCAAAAATAGATTCCCGAGAAGACCTTTCAAATAAGTTGTAAATTTGAAACTATTACAGACCAAGAGAACAGACTGCTGTGCTATGAGGAAGAAGTGCATCTCTCCTTGAATGCCCATAATAGTTTCTCCTGGGGCAGGGAGGGGGTACCATGGATGCTTTCTTACTGTACCCCAGAAGGCCATACCCTAGCCATATGTTTTTATGTCCAGGGGGCACAGAAAGGCTGATTACCTTGCCCAAAGCCACCAGAGAGCAGGGTAGGAGTAAGACTAACCTTTGAAGCCCCTCAGTTTCAAGGATGTTAATCACTTGGCTAAACCATGCTACAGTGCTGGAAGGGTCCCAGGTGACCTGCGTTCCTCCCCACATCAACAAGCAATGCTGCTAGAAGACAGTCTGTGTGCAGTGCCCACCCTAAGATTCCTTTGTGATCATGGTAAGTTTTACTGCTGAGAAACAGAAAGGGGAAATTTGACACAAAAACCAGGTTGGATAGGATGCCACTTGTGTCCTTTCTTTTCTTTTTCTTCCTCTTTTTAATTACTAATGTTTAATATCCAAATGCCTTACTATGTGCTTGTCTCCTGAAAAAACTTTTTTGTGTGAAAGCTACATAAAGGTTATTCTTTTCTTATATAAAACCATGAGTCTCAGCTGCCATCTCTTAAAGAATATGGATGCAGAGTCTTGGGTGGATGCACCCCCATTTAATTAGAAGGCTGCTTTGCTTTGTTTATGATTCCCCAAAAGACAGACCAAATGCATTCTGAAGGCAGACTAAAAGGATCTGAGGACAAAACACTGTCATGAAATGGAAGTCATGTTAACCATCCCTTGGGTTATAGGTGGAATACAGTTTGAGCAAGGGGCTGACTTCTTTTTGTGGGTTAGGAGAAGACAAGAATGCTTACTGCACATTTAGAAGGGAGCCGAATGGATGATGACCACTCACTTCTCAGTACACTGGAAAGCTTCATTGAAGAAATTGCCTATAGTGCATTAATGTCCTCCCACAGCTTTGGGCATGAGGTGAACTCTGGTGATTGTTGCTAGCCTGAACCCAAGGGTGGGTGCTGTACCTCATATTAAGGCCCCATCATTCCCACTGAGGAGCTCAGCCCACTGGCCACATCAGTGGAGTTTCCCTATTATAAACACAAAAGGGCAATACTTTTTTCATCTTTACATTCTGGGAATGTTCTTATCATAATGTTCAGAAAATATTTGTGGGTATTTGAAATCATAGAATAATAATAATCAGAATAATCAAAGAAATTCTTTTTGCAGTGTTAAAAATAAATAGCTATTGAACTGTGTAAAGGTAAGTTATTTCAAATTATTTTAAAATATAGTAACATGATTGATTCTTTCTACTGTAGTGTATGTATGTGTCAACTGATTGTGTCAATTTAAGCAAGAAATGCCCAACTAAATTGGATCACATAGTTCTAGAGGTAGCTGAAGGGGTTTGTTGACGACAGAAGACCCACCTGGAGTGTGAGTGACAGCAACTAATAGGCTTGCGGCCTGAATGAAACAGAAGGGAAATGAGAAAGGAAGGCTCATTTCTGTTTCTTTGTAAGAGCTCCAGTCTTCACGTCACCTTGGATGTCATCTCCTGGCTTCCAGCACAGACTCTTCAGCTTCCACTTCAGATCTTTCAGCCTTCTGGTGCAGACCCTTAAGCCTTGCATCCTAGACCCCTCAGCCTCCTGTTACAGACAAGCAGGGGACGTATAGTGAGCTCCAGATCTTTGGCTAGATCCTTTGCACCTGCAGTGCACAAATAGCTTTTTTGTACTTTTCCACACCTGACTCTGCAAGTGGCCATGGTAAGCTAAACTTGTAAATTCATATATATATATTTTGCATTAAATCTGTTTCTATAGTAAGCACTGACTGATACATATCCTAACAGCAAAAAGAAACTCCAAAGA